GCCAACGAAACTCCTAAAAAGAAATTCGTCGTCTGATTTGGTTTCTTTAGCCGAGCGATCGCCGTGGTTGCGCCAAGGAAGGGTTGAGTTCCTTCTGGGTGCTGTGGACTCACGGCCAGTGAAAGAACACGAGCGCGTAGCTTAGGTCGGATGAGACATCCAATACCGCTGTACTTACTGCTTATCCACGACCACACAAGGCTGCTGGACCTAGACCGGATCTCTATGGTGATTTGGCAACTCAACGAGAGGTGTTTCAGGACGTTCACACCTCGATGCATGCATGACGGTTGCTCCACCCCATTTCTCTGATCCACCGCAGCTCATCCGTGCCTCGTATAAAAAAGCACGTCCCCAATTTGAATCGCCAACCTACCTTTCCATTCGCTCCCTACCCACTACCAATCATTTCCCGATGAAGAGCTCCATCACGCTCGCTTCCCTCGTCTCTATCTCCGTCGTCTCGGCGCGTACTTTCACGGTCGTCAACAGCTGCTCTTACACGGTCTGGCCTGCGGTATGTATTTCTTGTTTCTTGCCGCCCGAGAGTTCAACTCACATTCTCACCCAGGTCTTCACTGACCTCAACGCCGGAAGCGCGATTCCCGACACCCCCACTGGCTGGGAGGCTGCCCCCGGCTCCTCCGTGTCCTTCAACGTCCCGGACGCATGGACGGCCGGACGTATCTGGGGCCGCACCGAGTGCGACTTTTCCACGAATCCGGGCCACAACTCGTGCGCTACCGGTGGTTGCAACGGCGGCTTGTGCGTCTCCTTCTCCGCTTTCTCTCAAGAGCCTTTTGCTGATTTTCATTTTCTACAAAGGCTGTGTGACCCTCACTCTGGGACTGGTGTCCCTCCTGCCACCGTCGCCGAGTGGACCCTCTCGGGCGGTGGGACGACGGACAACTACGATGTCTCCCTCGTGGATGGGTTCAACATCCCCGTAACCGTCACCAACAACGTCGGTTGCGACGTCCCCTCGTGCCCCGTCGATCTCAACGCCAACTGTATGTCCTCTCCTCCTTGCTTTTGTTTCCACCAAAACTCGAGTCCTAACCACTGCATAGGCCCCTCCGAGCTCGCCCACGACGACGCCTCGGGCAAGGTCGTCGGCTGCCTCACCGCCTGCGCAGCCAACCTCGACGGCAACCCCAGCGACTCGGCCAACTGCTGCTCCGGCTCGCACAACGTCCCCGCCACCTGCCCCCCATCCGGTGTCCAGGACTACAGCTACTTTAAGGACGCGTGCCCCAACTCGTACGCCTACGCGTATGACGAGTCGAGTGGAACTGCTTTGTGGTACTGCGATTCGAGCAAGGCGGCTGATTATACGGTTACCTTCTGCCCTTGACGGGTGAGTCGAAGGAAGAGTGAAATGTTGTACACATACCATCTTTGCATACCCGCGTACTTACTTGAAGATTCAACTTATTGAAACGACTGTTTTGAATGTTGGAAAATACAAGCAGATCTAGTATAGAGTATACGTACAGACAACACGATAACCTAACCATAGCAATGATAGCGATAGCGAATATCTCCCCTTCCCTTCACTCATGAATCGTCCCCGCCGCCAATGCATTGAACTCATCCTCCTTGGCGTCCAATTCTCGCACCGAGAACCAAAACGCACAACCCCCACCACCCGCTAGGACAGCCATGAGGGTGTAGTGCCACACAAGGAGCGGGTCTGCGGAGAGCCCTGTTGGAAGTTGAAAGAGCTCAGTGGGAAGGGAATTCGGAAGTGAAGGTGAAGAACCCACAAAGGAACATCTCGCCCAACAACGCACTCGCAGCACCCGTAAGTATGAACAGACTCATCACCAGCGACCGCATATTCGTCGGCGCCATCTGGAACGCGTATTGCAGGCCTGTGATTGAGGCGAAGATTTCGGAAAGGGCGATAAGGAAGTATCTGATTTGCAGTGTGTCAGTTCGCACTCGTGTAAATAAAGGCAGAAGAGAGCACGCACGCTGGCCCCTGCGCCCAAACGCTTATCGGCGAAACGCGCGGAATGCACGACGCAGCAGCGGACCCGCATGGATTCGTTTGATATATTTTATATTGGATTACAGCTGCCCAGACCATAGCGGCGGAGCCTAATAACAATGTTAGAGTGAAAGTGAAGGCAGAGGCCGCCACACACAAGTAAGGAACCCCGCTGTGATCCTCTTTAACGAGGTGAATCGAACCCCGCATCGTTGTAGAGCGGGGTAAACCTGTTTGAAGGATTCAATGAAAAAGGGAGAAGAAGCTTAAGGCAAGGAAGACGTACGAATGAATCCCAGAGCGGAATAAATACAACGAGCGAGAGCGGATTGATATTAGACAAAATATCATTCGGCAGTCCGTTCGTCGTCATCGTCGCCGCTTGTGAGGTTAGGTTATTGTTCATCTGGCTAGCCGCGAGCCCTGGATCCAAAATCAACCCAGCCCACACGGGGAAACAAAAAGAAGAAACACGCACAGTAAACAGGAAACCACATAAACGCCTTACAAGCACTCAAGCCCCTCCTCACCTCCTCCACCCACGCATCATCAAAGGTCATCCATCTCGGCCTCCTCTCTCTCGGAACCCCACTCGGCTTGACTTGGTCCCAGAAATCTGGGGCGCTGAGTCGACGATACGCCACAATCGGATTCAAGCTGACTTTGCACGTAGCTTGTTCAGTCAAGCCGAAATGCATGAGCCGGATGAAGGTGGCGAGGACGGAGCCTGTTGGTGGGGTGCGGATGTACCGCTTTCGTCCGAGGTATAGGATGAGCGGACAGAGGAGGAAGGCGAGTGTCGGGAGGGTGTAGGCTAGCCAGAAGCCGACGTACTGAAAGTATATAAATCAGGAATTCAAGGGAAGAAACGGCGCGCACTTTTTCAGAGTAGGTCATACAGATTTGACCAATTAGCGAACCGACGTTGATCATTAGGTAGAAATACTGAAAAGCAAATAGGTTCGAGACCGCCGACTCCGCAATGGGCAACTCACCATGTATATACGCTCTACCGTGAGTGCAGGATCCACGATAACCTGTTCGCCACTGTCGGTAGTGACGACGAACATCTTGGTACGTCGATACTGCTCTGCCACCAGGGTGGAGATGTTGGACTTGAAGAGGCCCGTCCCCAATCCCATGACGACGATAGCAATTAAAAATACGCTCATCGCGGTATCTGGGTGTTCTATAACCCCGGGTACCGCCGCGAAGATGAGCATAATGTGCCCAAGAAGCGCAATCCCGACGGCGACGCAGACGGTGTTGAACCGACCGAGATGAACATCGGCGACGTACGCGCCTATGAGAGGCGTTATGTCTCCCCTGATTAGCTGTAAGTCAATGGGGTTGCAGGGCGGGCGTGGGACACACCAGAACACGTAGAACGTGCCTATGGCGGTGGATATCCTTTGGCCTTTGCCTAGAGCACCAGACTGTCCGTCCACGAGTCCCGCACCGGTGTGAGAGCCCTCGGGGAGAGGAAATTGAATAAAATTTGTCTAAAAGTGAATTTTCTCAGCTGGTACGATAGAGAGAGTGATGCTCACAAAAACGACCGTGGAGCCGTAAAACTGCGAACGAGTCAGGTTGAGCGTTCTAAAACACGATGGATGACAGCGCACCGAAAAGCGCTCAGCCAATTCGATGAGCGCAATCACTACAAATGGAGGCGTCGTCCATTCAGAAAAGACAGCGCGGTAACGACGCACGATACGCAGTCCAAGGAAGTCTATCCGGTATTCGCCTCAGTTTCTGCAATTGCTCTTCAGTGGGTGGTATCCCCTCGTCGTCTTCATGGCTATCCAGGTCGTCTTTCACCGGGAGGTCCAAGCCAGATGCCGCAAGCAAGGGCATTTCGTATTCATCTTGCTGCCCGTCCGAGTCCGCGTTGGCATTGAGAGGACCGTATTGGTATGAAGCAAAATTTGAAGCCTGGGGAGGTCCTGCCATTCATGAGCGTGAGCGTAGGCCTTGGTGATGATGGTCGAGAAGCGAGAAGCGAGATGGAAGCTATTCGCTGGCAGTGGCAATTGAATTGCAGGCTGTGCCGTCGACACCGCATCACCGAGAAACTCTCACGGATGCTCGGCATTTGAACACTCGAATTCCCGCGGAGGTGCGAAGAGGCTGCGGAGTCACTGTCTTGGCAAAAAGGGTGCGACAACGCAGCTCTCTGGTCAGTGACTTCCTTGGATTCGAACCAGGTTCAGCTGAAAAGATCGATAATCACTCAGCATTGGAACCTAAGTAATTGGCCTCCCTGGAATCGAACCAGGACCTTCTGCCGAATTTAAATTTCTCCCTCCATGAACAAATTTCAGCAGATGCACTCGGTGTGCTAGAGACTGCTCAAATACTCTTCAACCTCAACGAATGTGTGTGACAGGTCAGAAATTGATCCCGAAATGACGTCGGATCCGCTCGGCACTGTAAATGAAACCTTGGCAAATACTCATCCAATTGCGTCGGTCTCAACTCTGAGTCTTTGTGTCGGAAGCAGAAGTTCCATAAAAGAATTGTCCATGAATTACGAGGGGACGCATCAACCGGGATTCGCGGTGCTCACATAAGGGACGGCCTGCAACCAAGGGCTGTACTTTCTACGCGGTTCACGCATGCTGCGTGCCATAACCGGACCTGGACGACTCCATGCGAAGAACCCCGATGATCCATTATCAGTCGGCGGGATCGAGCCATCATTAAGCCGGCGATGGATCAATACGGCCTGTTAGCTTGGCTATTCAAACTCAAGTTCCTCGATTCAACGTGCTCGCAGGCTTGGACAAAAGGACCAGCGATTCGATGTAGCGCTAAAGTTATCTTCGTGGAGTGCAATGGGCTGCAGTGGATTCGAACCAGGGACCGTCTGGTGTCACTATAAGCCGGTCGAAGTGCTACATAGTAACATACAGATATTGGATCCGGACATCCCAGTTACTGTAGCCGTTGCCTTCACTCCGAGTCCAAGCGATATCTCACTTCAAAAGGAAATGTTCAATGGAACAGAGCTTCCTTGGATTCGAACCAAGACTTTCTGCTGGAAATTGGCAGATTTCAGATCTCAAATGGACGGCAGATGCGCTGAGTCCATGCGTCAGAGGCTCTTCAAATGTTACATGGAAACAGCATCTGCTGGATCTAAAGCAGCTGAGCCAAGTCTGGCTTACATGGATGCATCAGAATCTCGTGCATATATTCACCTCGGCAACAGCGGTTGTGAGTCGTGACGTCGATTGGTCACTCCGAGTCCGGCAGGATTCAATTTTCAAGTGCCTGCGCTAGAAAAAAAACCTATGCCTTTGACTCAAGTCGGCCAGGGGTCCTAGGAATTCACTCCTTTCAACCCGCAAGCTCGCGGTTCTTGCTGACGGCCTGAGCTGCTGGCGAGTTGAATTACTTGCAACTAGATGCCGTATATGGTACGTGGGGCTCGGCGCCCGCGGCTGGATTCACCGATTTCGATTGAAATTAGGCCGCGCTTACATAAATACTCAACCCTAGCGCTTAGACAGGCTGTATTTGAGAATACAGCATAACAATTGTTACAGGTCCTCCCTGGATTTTCACCAAGGCGCGAGGTGGCAGATGCACTCCTGTGCTAAAGACGGTATTTTTCAATGAGGCGGCGATTATGAAGCCTAGTCTTTGGTTCGAATCCGAGTTCGGCTCTGGTGCCTTCCCAGCGCGATCATTTTTTATGGCGAGTTTGAGATGTACCTCGAGTGTGTAGCTGGCCATGGGCGATGCTACACGAGCGGAGTATTCACGTTCAGTCCAGCAAGGCCCAACCGTACTTTGCAGGGCCAACCAGAGATAAATGCAAGCTCCCATTCGGATTACTGGCCTAAGCTTTCTGGGGCTCGGTGCACACAGCAGCTAGCTAGATAGACTGGGAACAGACTGGAGCACTCTTTCCCTCACCGAGTGACGGAAGATGTCCCCAGAGGCTGTTCTTCACTGACACTGCGCTGATGAAGCGTAATCTTGGTTCGAGTCCGAGCTTGGGATCCACTGCAGTTCTCCGAGGCGTTCACGTTTTTGTTTCGCTGGAAACATTGCTTGAGCGATAAGCTATATTTCCAGTGAGTTTTTAACAGCAGATCTGCCCACGCTTTGGTGCGGCTACCCATGCCCAAGTTCGTTGTTCTGCAGGATGTCTCATTCAGGAATCACCATTGTTTTTATCAAGAGAAGAAACACGGGTACTTATCGTGCGACGTGCCCACGTTCAGTCGATGAGGTTCGGCGATGCGCGAAACGCTGACTACCAGTTCGAATCTGGGTCTTGTATTAATCGGATTGGTGCTTTTTGATGATCCATCACACAGATCAATCATCACACAGATCCCCTACTCTGTCAAGAGGAGAGTTCTGTGGGGCTGAATGTTTTGATGGCCTGCAAAATTTACTCCATCAATTCCCACCATGATCCACATTACTCTCCGCAATTCACGTAAGATGTTTCCTATGTTGATCACAAGCCGCTACCGGCAGATATTTCTAGTCCTGCCGTTATGATCCGCCCCAGAGTAGGGGAAGTAGGGCTGGAACCGGGATCAATGACAGTCCGGTGTGTGACCATCATGATCGGTGCGGAGCGCGTAACGGGAGCCGAGCCAGTGCCCCAAACGGGATGCCCGATCGATCGCACCAGCCCGCGAGCGTGAACAGGTGTGAACGCCGCCCCGACGCAAAACGCTCGACAACGCCGACGAACGCGCGCCGAAGAGAGAGGAAGGGACGTGGGGAGGAGGGAGGGAAATATGAAAAATGGAAGGGAGAGCCGGAGCGAGCAAAGGAAATAGGAGGGAGGCTGTACACCTGCCCCAGGCGCCGGTAGACTCCAGAGGGAGTTGGGACGAATAGAAGGGGCAGAAGGGGCAGTGTGGAGAGAAAAAAATATCTATGCAAGTGTGAAATGTGCGCCGAATCGCGCCGGGAGGAATAACCAAGGCATTTGCCAAGGAAATGTCCGCCACACAAGTGTCGTCTGTGCATCTCCCAGGTGCTGCTACACACGGCTGTGAACCACAGAAAAGCGAGCAGGGAAGAGGTACTGACGTGCCAACGCGTCAAAGGACAAAGCCGCGGGAGAAAAGTGGGGCCGAGGCACCACGACAAATCAATTGCGCAAGGCGTTGTTGCGGCAGGCCTCTCGAGAAGGATGTGTGGAGAGGAGCAAAGGGCAGAAGAAAATGGAATGGCCTCCGAGGAAAGAGAGGGCGGCCCCAAAATGACCGAAATGCAATGCAAGTACTCACTCTGTAGCCACCACAGATGATCCAAGTATAAGGGTCCCTCGAACCGAATGCCACATCGTTCGCAGCAAGAAAGAGGCAGAAGGTGAGATTCAAGAGTGTGCTGAGGAGAGGGTAGGTCGAGTCGATGCAATTGTCAAGCCGGAGGTAGCGAATGAAGTCAGACAACCGTTACGATAGCTTCGGAATCAATACCCCAAGTACATCGCCGAGCTCGCTAAGACCTTGGCAGCGGCAAGCCGGGCGCCAGATCTTGTACAGCATACCGCTGCGATGCCGGCCGCGTACATTTAGCGGGACTGTGCTTTTCGTGCGTTGACATCTGTGGGATCCCCAGCCAAAATCTCGCCACACTCATCGCAGGGCTAAAAAATGACAGTCCAAGCGAGATAAAGTCAGTCCAGACGAGATAATGGACAGTCCTGGCATCGAGCCGGGATATACGGCAATTCGAGCAATCCTGAGTGATCTAGCTAATATTGCAGTACGACAGTGCGGTAAACGCTGTTACTCACATGAATACACACGGAGTGGGCCAGTCAGTGTTTTTTTTACAGACATGTGGTCTTGATATACCTAGGACCGAGGTTGGCGTGCGACGCGTCTTGGACGCGTTATTTGCTCAGGTTGTTTTGATGATGTATATCAGCTTGTCCGCTCCCACCATGACGACGCGTACGCCTCCTCGTTTTCAACACACCTGAAGCACAAACGGCGCAGTAATCACCCCAGCATTGGTCAGAGATGGCTGAGACTCATTGAGGGCCGTCCCCATCTCTAACCACCTCCCAATGCGCGCAAGTCACAACCCGCTATCCCTCCACCGCTATCCCAGGCTATCCCATCGACGAGTGCGGGTTTGGCGTATAGCATGGATGTGTGATGCGTCCGCACACGGTTTCATCTCTCGACGAATACTCATCCATTCCATACCCAGGGTCCGCCCTTTGTACGCGTTGGACGTGGCTCCACGCACTCAATGCTGGTTCACGAGCCCATCGTTCGGAGCAACCCGCCCTCCACCATTCAGCCTGTTCTTTGTTGTTAGCCGCACTTCCTCTGCATTGGCCATATGAATTTCCCGGCAATCTCTCGTGCGTGCGAGACTCAGACACCGTACATAGGTGAACGGCGGTCTCCATTTGGGTTACGCGATGCAGCTGGTAAGTGAGCAAATGATCTTTCTACGAGACATTGACATGAAACAGACACCTCCTCAATACCACGCGCTGACGCCAGTGCGCGTCGCCGCCTGCTGCTGATATTGTGGGTGGGAGGGAGGAACGAGAAGGTAAGCCGGTGTTACTCGCAGAGCGGGTTTCTCACCATGCTGTGCGCGGTTCTCAGCCGTTTAGCGAATGTGAATAGCGGGGCCCGTCACCGTGTTCTCAATGGGGCTCGGATGCGCTCGCGACCCGAGCGGCCGATTCGCACATGGCTCACCGTTAGCAGCGTATTTGGGAGAGCGTGGAGACTCATGGAAAGCGTCCAGTTGTGGGTCCATCCCTCTGTGATTTTGCTCATTGTGCTGACCATGAATCCAGTGCGTTGCTTGCAGCGGTCAACTGTTAGCCGTAATTCCGGCGGCCCTGAGGCGGGGTGCACACCGCTCCGGTTTTTTCTTTCTCCTGGCTCACGGGGCACTGTATGTATTCAGGTTTGTGTACATGTTCGATCGTAGACAGGGGCAATATACACCTTCTTTTCTGAAACCATGTCAGCGGACGACCACTCGCTACTCTACACCCTGCGAAACACCATCTACGCCGGCAATGAGGATCAACCCCATCCCAACGACATTCAAGATGATCTTGAGGCGGAGGGGGAAACATTCCCCGAGGATGATGAAGAGAACGGAGACGAGTTAGGCAGCGGTGAGAAAGGAGGGAAATCAACCGGAGGAGAGAATATGGACATAGCCGAGTTGCAGGGTGTCCTTGCGGAGGCCTCAAAGGGTGTAACTGAAGACACGGACAAGGAATATAAACGGCAAGTGTCTATTCACTTAGCAATCGCGCGGCTAACAGACTTCAGGTTGATGAACAAATGCCGTGAATATCTCATCTCGGTGAAGCTGATCAAGCCCGGGGACGCATTTTTCACCAAGAATCCGGGTGATCTTACTCCGCTGTGCATCTGCCTGTGGATAATGAGCGAGTTGAGTTACTTCAACTCAGTCGACAGTTGATTACTGACTTGTCTCGTCAGATGCGATGAAATTAACCCAGATGGGACGGCAAAACCACACACTGAGACTCGGAACGGATACGTACATGCCCAAAAGATGCGGGCAGCTATGACCTACGCGTTCGGCCGCATTCACGGGCTCGGATCTCTAACCTGGCACCGGAGTGAGGTCAGTGGTCGGATGATGGGTAATCCCTCTGTATCCGATACGGTCGCGATATATATGACCAGTCTACGCCGCCGTAAGGTCAAGTTCTATCTATTATCTTCGTGATTTAGCTTACTGATGTATGATAACAGGTTCGAGCTGGGCAAACCGCCACTAGCTCTAGAGCAATCACCGCAGTAAGCTTCAGAAAATTCTTCTTATAATGTTCATTGAGGAATTCCAGGAAATTATCCGTGAACTCTACAACTACAATCATCAGCCTGACGTTGGGGATATCAAGTCGTACACACCCGGAAGACGTTCTGCACCCAAGAAGGATCACGAGTGGGCCGGCGGTCGTATGCGGCGACTCCTCCAGTGCACATATGTTCTGGCCTTTCTCTGTCTCCTCCGCTTCGATGAAGTACTGAAGATACGGCTGGAGGACATTCAGTTTGTGACCCCGACATGTGTCAAATTGACCCTCCCTTTTCGCAAGACTCATCAATTT